TTTATAATCACTGTGGAAACATTAGCATCTTTGCAACTATATTTTCTATTTTAAATTCTGTATTAGGGATTTTTGTGACAAAATAAGGTTAATTTGAGACAGCCCTAATTTCCTTCCCCCAGTTCCCCCCAAAATGCTTAAAGAAATGTATGGGTATTATAAAGATATTTTATTTTAAGGTTGGGCCACAAAGTGACCAGTAAAGTTTTTTCAGGCTGAATGTGTCTTGTTTAGGAGGTGGCAAGTTAAGAGGAAAGCGGAGAATTAAAATATTTGCAAGATGTCATTAATCTCCAGCAAGAGCCTAGACTTGTTTTTTACCCCCTTCATTTCAGAACTAATCCAGCTCTCTGTTAGTTGGCTCAGAAAAGTCTTAAATCTGTAACAAGAGAGTAACTTCCTGTTCTCAAGAGTATGGCTGCCAAAGAAAACATTTACAAGAAAAGTCCCAGGGCCAAAAAACTGCCAACTAATTATTTCTCAACCCCCTCCTATCCCTAATTCAGGAAGGTGAATGCTATAAATGCTGTATGTTAAAACTCAAAAGTATGTGTTGAAAAATCAAGAGAAAACCCCCCAAGAAATATTTGCCATTTATTTATATTTTATTGCATTCAAATCACATCTCTTTTATGGCCCTTGGGCACAAATTAATGTTTCTTATAGTATTTTGTTTGAATTCCACAAAGATTATACTAAACCTTTATCAAAATGCATTATAGAAGTTTTTACCTGCTACTTTTTCAACTGAAGAAGTAAGCAGTAGCCCCGATGTTCAGGAGCAGACCTCGTACCACCTCCTAGGCTGTGGTGTTGCTCCAAAGTAGCCTGACACTCAGCGGTGAGGTCTTGGTGTTCTCCTCAGTGACCTGTCTCTGCCTTACCATTCCAGTCAAAATCCCAGCAGCCCTCTGGTAGAAACTGACAGACTGTAAAATTCATATGGAAATGCAGAGGGCCTAGAAAAGCGAAAACAACTTTGAAAAAGGAGAATACAGTTGGAGAGCCTATACTATCTGACTTCAAGGTTCATGATAACGCTAGTAATCAAGACAGTGCTGGATTGGTGTCAAGACAGCAACTAGATCACTATAACAAAATAGAGAGCCCAGATACAGACCCATGCATACATGGCTGATTGATTTTCAACAATGGTACCAGAATAGTTCAGGGGAAAATGGGTAGTCTTTTCAACAAACTGTGCTAAAACAATTGGATATCCATGTGCAAAAAAGCTTCTTGGTTTTATACTTCACACCATGTTAGTAAGTATACTCCTGCCTAACGAATCACTCTCCCTTCAGGTTCTGTGCCTCTGGTCTCTTTCCTGAAATGCATCTCCAGTCTTCCCTTTGGGCTTTTCTTTCTGACAAAGTTAAATGGGTTATTCTCAAATTCTCATATCAGGAAAAGAAGACTATAAGACTATATACTTTGATTTCTTGTTTATCCAATTTTTTTTTTTTTTTTTTTTGCCCTGCTTCCCTTCTGCGCTGTCCCACTCACTAGTAATTCATTAGGTCTCTAGTATGTGTTCAATAAGAGGAAATCCTGGGTTTGCAAATATTCATGGTGCAAACTCTCCCTCCCAGTGATTACGAGTCCTCAGAGCAGGTATCAGTTGTTGCTGTGTTTCCTGTGCAGTGCTGGAAAATCAGTGCACACTATATCACATGATCTGCACAGCAAGCTTATGCGGGGATACAATTCCATTACTGCCTAGGCCCAGCTGCTTAGAGGAGCACTGGGCCTCAGCCCTGAAGTGGCCTGACCAAGGAGGTATTGCGACTTAGTGGCAGTCCTCAGACCCACTCCAGGCTTCCCACTGCTGTTGCGGAATCAGACAGGGCTGGATGGTTTCAGGCAAACTTCATCTTTCTTTGAGTTTCAATTACTTGATCCACAAAATGATGGCATCTTCCACACAGAACTGTTGAAAAAAAGTATGTGTATGTCGTGCCTAGCTCAGTAACTCTTGGTGCCCTTTACTGCCCCCCAGCCAAGGCTCTTTCTGAATACTTTTCATTTATAGATTTTTTCACCCTTATTGAGTCTGGAATGGGTCCCCTCCTTTATGAGAAACTGCCACAAAGTGGCCTACATCAGTGGAGAGACAGGAAACGGACATGATGATCAGTCATTAGATTTAAGAGTAGGAAAGAAGAGTCAGAAAAGAAATACTCCTGGGATTCAGAGACAGCACAGATCAGGGGGAGCCAGTCTCACTGGGAACAATTTGGGAGAGGATGAGGGTCTTGAGGTGCATATCTCTGTCTACCCAGCACCTGGCCTGTGCTTATTGAACTGAACCAGGCCTGTGAGAAAAGCACTATGGTCTGATGTGGCCTGAGCCAGGACAGGAAGGAATCCTCTCCTGCCTATCACACCTGCACCCCATTCCTTGCCCCGAGGACCACCCTAGAATTCCTGGAGCAGGCAGATGTCATTTGCTGTGGAGAAAGAGGGTGTCTAGGGCAGACCCACGGCCCAGCTTTGGGGGATCAGCCTTGGCTGGTGCACCTCTAATGGGGGGACCATGTCATATCACCCAATTCCAGGCACTTCCTAGACATCTGTTGCCAACCCTCCCCAACCACTCCACCCTTCCCCAGCCAACCCCAGCTCTGAAATAGGCCATCTGGTGCATGTCCACCCAGACTCAATCCTCATCTCAGGCATGTGGCCTGAATTTTTTCTGTCTCCCTGGCTGCCTCTTGCTTCTTATGAAGCAGCAGGCCTTCTCTGATTCCAGGATCCTGGGGGACACCGCTCCAGTCCAGTCTCATTTCCTATCAGCTGCCCAGGCCCTCTCTGGGCCCTGGGGATCCCTACATGCCTGAAGCTCACACGTGCACAGCCCATGAGCTCAGGTATCCAAAGGCAATATCCTGAAGGAACTTTTTCACAGCCTGCTTGGAGGACAGGTTGGCCTAAAGCAAGCAACTTTATACACTTGCTCATTTCTCGTTCCGAGTGTTGGTGAAAGGACCAGGAAACCACATTGCCAACCTGTTGGTGACAATTTTAATGGACTCAAATTTCCACTGGCCAAATTGGACCCTGTGCACCAAAAGACTTAAATTTGTATAACTTTTGACCCAGCAATTCTTCTAGGAATTTATCCTGAGAAAATAATTAGGCAAGTGTATAAACACGTGTATACAAGGTGGTTCATCAGAAGATTATTTCAAAAAGAGTAAAGACAACCTCTGAAATCCTGACATTAGGGGACAGGTCATTTTATATAAATTCATAGTATATCAATATAAATTAATAGTATATCAATAAAAAGGAATCTAAGTGACTATAAGAAATAAATGGTATAAATCCATATTTCTATCTCTATACAGAATGATCACAAAATAAGTGAAAAGTGGTTACATAGTATGTAATGATAATAGGTGGCACTTGTTAAGTGCTTACTATATGCCAAACACTATTCTAAGAACTTCCCAGATATTAACTCAGGTAAACTTCACACCACCTCTGGTTAAGAAAGAACTGTCACTGATCCCATTTTTACAGGGGCTCAAAGAGGTTCTGTGACTTGCTCAAGGCACACGCTAGATGCTGAGACCAGACAGTCTCCTAAATACCCTGATTTTTGCTTCTCAGTATAAGGTCATATTTGTCTTAAAAACAAAAGAAAATAGAAAGTATAAGAGTGTGTGTGTGTGTTTTTAAGAAAGACTGGAATGAAAATATTAATAAAAAATTATTAATTACTATGAGATGTTTTTTATTTAAAAAGAACTTCACATATGCTGTGGTTTTCATTTCAGGAAGATGAAGTTTCCATGTGATATTAGAGTTCATTCCCCCAATTCTACACACTATCTGTGCTCACGAAGGGGTTGAAGAAGGAACACAGCTTTCAGATGGTGGGTTGGGGGAGACCAGAGTTCATTTTAACAAAGGATTATGAAGGATCATCTCTGTTTTTTTCCATTTCCTACGTACCACATAGGAACTCTCTTCAATCGTCTTCTGAATAGTTCAAATAATGTTTAGAATTCTCCACATGTTGAAGATATATTTAAAAATACAAAGGGCCCAGATGGAGGCCACCTTTAATGCTGTAGAATGATGTGTGGCATTCTTTGAATGTAAAACTACTCGCCAATTTTTTTTCCCTTTTTCTTCCTTATTTTGAGAAAAAGAGAAAGAGGAGACTGTGAAAGTGTTTGCAGAGCAGAGCAGTTGTCATTTCTTCTTTGGCCTCATTACGCTTCTGCATTTCATTCAGAAACTGTTTCCGGACCAGCTTCTCCAGGAGCCAGAGATTCCGAGGACCCTCCACCACTCTAAGTCCAGCTTTCCTACCTCCTGGTCCTAAGGACTGCCTTTCCTGAAATATTCCTCCTTATAGACTTCCCTGCAGCACTGTTTCTCTAAAAGTGAGGGTAACCAGGGGTCTACAGTGCTTTAAAAACAATGAATGACAGGATTGCTTGTCTGTGCCCAGCACGCAACAAAAGCGTCTATGTGAACTTCTCTGAAAATCACATCTGCCTATCAAGTAGGTGTGATTATCCCAAGTTTTCAGAAGACAAGTTGACAGAAACTTTGATGACTTGCCCAAGGTCCCACAACCCTAACTACCTACAAATTTGGCTTCAAAAATGAGGCATTTTCCTCTTTCCACTATCCTGCCTCACAGTGATTTACCTAGCTGAGTTGCTTTGCTTTCTTTCTTTGTTATTGTATTTTATGTTTTGAAATGGGAGAGTAAGTGGGAGGGACTTTGGACACAAGGGAGGGTGATTTTTTAAAGTAAAAATGTGACAGCATCTTTCCAGAAGTGGGTTAACTAGACAAATTTCAGAGTTTACACACACACACACATGCTGTCTCTCATACACACCCTGTCTGATGGCTTATGAATGCTGCTGCAGACCGTACTGATGGAGAGATGACCATGCCCTGACTTTAACACTCAGACGCTGCTGCTGGCCTGCACCACTTCCACGTGGTCACGGATGGAACACAGAGACAACATCAATAGAACAAAATATATGGTATTTATTAAACATGCGGCATAGGTTATAATATTAAAGTAGAGCATGCACGCACAAATTACTCATTTAACAACACCACCAGTTTATCCTGAAAACAGTACATGATTAAATTTCCACAACATACAAAATTCTCTTTTAGTGAAAGTGAGAAAGGAAAAAAAAATCGCAGGTTGAATAAATATAGTGATTTCAGCTGGCTCCATAAAGGCATAAGGCACAATTAAACCAATGGATTATATAGCACGTCAGAATGAAGTGTGTCTGCCCACACGAGGACCATCTCCAAGCATGGCTCCCACAGCCCTCCGCCATTGGCCCCATGAGGAGAGAGCACCTGCATGGTGACAGTCCTGTCTGCCCAGGGTCCAGCTTCCCCAGGTGCCCCTGCTCCATGAACAGGCTTCTCTGAACCAGAGAAGCACTGCCTCTAATACTTTTATGGGTAAATAAAACCTTCATGCTGTAACAGATGGCGCAAATAACATGAAATTTCAAATTAATGCCCTTTTCCCTCTCAACTGTAGTTGAGTAAAACAGAAAATAAATTGAGGGAATTCTCCTGGTGGGACTTCAGTGTCTACACACAAAGTGAAGGATGGCCCAGTCCAGAAGGGTACGCACGCTGGGTGTTTGAAATATGACCTTGAAACCTCTTTCTCTGTCCTCCCCCTGGGCCTCTGCCCCCGACTTCTTTCATGCTTTCGAAGTGGATCAGAACCTCAGCTATTTCATTCTGACTTACACTGCGTATAGGAGGAAGCAACAGTCACCCTTCCCAGACGTCAAGCTGCTGGGTTCCAGGGCCTTTGTCCCTCTGTAAAAAGTGCAGGTCTCCAGTGCCTAAGTCAGAGTTTTCTTCATGGTTAACTCCAGGACTCGTGTGTATGGGGTATAGTTCCTGGAAGGCATTGCAATTTCACGAGTCCTACCTGTTTGGCTGGGAAATGAAAAAAAAGGCAGGTCAGGAAGATGAAGCAAAACTCTCATACTCTCCACACGGTAACACAATTCTGGGAAATGGTTTCTCGACACTTAAAAATAGACTGCAATCAATGCAGTTGAAAATTTCATTTAAATATTATAAGAGGGGCCATAATTTTCAGCAACTTTTCAAGGTTGTGCCAGACATCAATGATTCAGAGAAGTAAAACACATACATTCAAGGAACTGTAATTTGGTGGGAAAGGCATGTCCATAAACAATTTTAATATGACGTGTTAGGTACTATAATGAAGACATTAAGAGCTGTGCTGGATATTCCCCATTTAAACATTCAGATCTGCTCTCCCTCATCTCCTCGTCACTCTGTGCCCTGGGGAGCTGACCTGAAGGTCAGCATCAGTGGGCTCCCTCACCCTTTAGCTTCCAGTAGTTGCTGGCCAGTTGGGAGATGGCAGCAGGGGATGACGGAACGGAGGAACAGAGAGGCCAGGACATCTGTTCCTCCTGGGCCGGGCTGCAGCACGGTAGTTAGCTACACTCTTCTAGCAAAGGCCACAGCTACAGCTCTCCCCTCTGTCACTTCTGTCAGCTTTCTCCCCATACCTCTTCAACCTTCCACTCTTGCTAGCTCCAAAGTACAGCATTGTCTGTTGATTTCCCTTAAAGCTGCCCAAACCTTTGTAAATAGTCTCTCTTATCTTCCTTTCCTTCCAGGACCCTGAGCAATACAAGAATTAATGTACTGCAGGCAAACTGAGAGCAGAACAAGTTAGCATCACCAGAAGGGTGTCTGGAAAGGCACAGGAATGAATCTTGAAGGATGTCTAGACATTCCTCAAATGGGTATGGAGAAGACGGGAATTCCAGGCAGAAGGGACAGTATGTGCAAAGGCAAAGAAGGGTGAACACAAAGGCCGTGGGTATGGGAAGGAGCAAAGGGGTCAGAATGGGAAGTGGCAGAAGATGAGGCTTGCTTGAGAAGGGCCCTGGATGCCCTGAGAAGGAGTTCAGAAGAGGACAGGCAGCCACTAAAGGTTTTTAAGGATGGTTATGATATGCTCACATTTTTATTCTAGCAAGATCCTTTGTTACTACTGAGGGATATCTGCAGGGTCTGGAGGCAGAAGGTAGGTTCGGAGATTTTTGTTATTTAAGAGGTGAGAGAGAAATCATAAGAACATGAATTCTAATAGCACTGGAAGTTAAGTAGCAAGAAAAGGTCAGGGAGATATTTGGGAGGTAGAATTCACCAGGATTTGGTAACTAAGTTGCACGAAATACCTCATTTCTTTTTCCTCCTGGACACATAACTCAACTACCTGTCCCAGACTCTTGCAATCTGGTGGCCCATGTGATTACATGGACAGAAATGATTTATAATACTTCTAGGTATAGCCTGTAAAAACTCTCTACATAACCCTCCATGTTCAATCTCTTCCCTTTCCTGCAGAGGATACAGTGTAAGGCCCAAGAGGACTCCAAAGCCCAGGCAGAGTCACTGGGTGGAAGAATCCTGGGTTCCTGAATGACTATGTGGAGCAAGGCCCATGCCAACCAGCTTTGCACTATGATGTGAGAAATAAATCTGTATTTTGCTAAGCCACCGAGATTTGTGGACTTTTTGCTAACAGCAGTCACATTCCTTACTCCAACTAATGCAATGACCAATTACATATATAAGGTATGAGTCAACTCCCTCTCCCCTAACATCCCATGCCCAGTCATTCACAAAGTAATATGGAACCTACTCCTTTAACTGTTTCGTCAGCTGTCTTTTCTATCCTCTCCACCACTGCCCTAGTTCAGGCTCTCATAATTTATATTTGCATATTGGAATAGTATTATTCTAAATGGTCTCCTGCCTTCAGTGTTGGCAAAGTCTTCGACTATCCATTTGCTGTCAAAGATATCCTCCTAAAAAGACATCTGGAGCTTATTACTGTTCCTCAAAGTCTCCCCATATAGACTGGTTGAAGTCTCAATTCCTCCACATTGTCTAAAGGCCCTCTGCCATTTCCTGATGTATCTCCTGTCTGGCCTTGCTGAGAAACACGTACTTCTCATCCTTTATCACACTGCTTCACATCTCTCTGCCATTCTCATGCTGGCCCCTCCACCTGGAATGCTTCCCTAATCAAATGGACCTGATGAATTCCTGCCAGTATTTCAAAACTTAAACAAAACATCACCTCCTTTATGACAATTTCCCCAGGTCTTTACACTAGTGACAGAAATGATCATTCCTTCATATGCTTCCGTTTCCTTGAACAGTGGTGTTCAATTTTCTACCCTACAAAGTTCACTTTTCCAAACTTTCCCATCTATAATATCTCCCATTACCCTGAAGTGATTTTCAAATATAGGGAGACAGCCTTTTAATGGGGTGTGTTAGAAGCTTGGGGGGAATTGACTTCCAATGTCTTTCCCCAAGCAATTCGATATGTCTTTCCTATACTCTCCTCCTCTCCCTGCCCACATGCACCTTGAAAATGACCATCATACAGGCTCTGACACACCACTGGAAGCATCTCATCGCACCCACTGGTCTACACGCCCTTTGTTAGTCATAAGTTCATGAAGGATGAAATCCGTATCTCCCTCATCTTCATGATCCCAGAAGCTCTCTCAGGCCAGGCACAGAGCTATCACTATACCTACAGATGACAAGGGAAACCAGAGGACAAGAGATTCAAGGAGTGAGTAGGCAGTGTTGCCTGTCGCAGAGAGGAATCCATAAGATCTGGCAATTTAGGGGTCCCCAGTGACCTAATCGGGCAATTTAGTGTTGTGCCAGGGGCAGAAGCCAGATGGCGATTTGTGCCAACTCTTGTGAAAAGTCCACATAGCAGCAATAGTCTCTGGTGATAATATCCTAAAAGCCCATAAAATACACAAATATTTATAAAGGCAGACCTTCCGGATTTCAGAAACAGGCTCTCATATTTCAACCTTTCGAAAAGAAATGAGGTATTTTATTTTAGCTGATCACTGGGAAACAACAGGATATCAGCAACACAAACAATTTCAACCACAGAACTGAAAGTCAACCGTTTTCTTCAACACATTAAGGCTATTGTTAACCTTTAATTAATCCATAAAAGGGGCAGTTCCCCTGGGGGAAACAATAGCAGAGTCAGCAAATAAAGCTTTGACAAAAAGCTACTTTGTGCCCTGGCCTCTACAATAGAAATATGGAAATGTAGCCATTTTAAAGCACTTACTATGTGCTGGGCACTTACGACTATAGGGAATATTTTTCATTCTATCACACCTATTAAGACACAATTAAACAGTTTGCTAGAAGCCAAGTTTCACTAAGAGGCAAGAGAAAGAGAAGGCTTTTTTTTCACTTTTCTTTTTGAATGACCTGAAATTGCTCTCAATGGCTTTAATTAACAGATATCAAACTTTTCAGATCAAATTCTGAAGGCTTCTGTAAAAAAAATAAGTGTTTAAGAGGCCCTGAAATCACAGTAACTGTCTTCCCTCCCCTTCTCACTCTCCTTGTTCTATTATAAGATTCTTGTGCTCCAGAAATTTATGGGACATAAAGATTAGATGAAGGAGGGGGAGAATTTGAAGAGGACAAACTAAAAGAAAAGCTGAGAGCTGGTACTGAGTAGATGAGACAGAGAGAACACTGGCCGCAAGCAGGCTGCGAGCAGCGGGAACAGAAAGGGATGAAGCGAGTCATGAAGGAAGAAGTCAGCACCGTGAGGGAGCAAGCCTGCAAGCCGGGCACCGCAGTATCCTGAGCTCGGGGACCAGGCGGGGTGACGATGGCGTCTTCAGAAATATGAAAATGCAGCCACTACACAGGGCACTTTATGCCTGCATCTCAATCATCTCAGCACATTTCTGAGGGATTACTATAAAAAATTTCCCACTGTAGGTGAGGAAACAGATTCAGAGAGGGTAGAGATTTGCCCAACCCTGTAGATGGAGCAAAAGGCAGATGCAGGACTCAAAGCCAGGTGTAATGGCCAAGCCAGTGTTCTTCACGACTACTAAGAGACACTGACATTGGTGGGAAAAAATGACACGCTCAGCTATGGATGTAGCGGGTATGGAGATAAGTGGCCACCAGCTGGGAGTGGCCAACAGGCAACTGGGAATGAGGACTTGTATGCAAGAGACAGGTATGGACTTCCTGATGGCTCAGTCACAGCAAGGAAAGAGGCCCAGCTGTGAGACCAGATGCCATCTTTGCAGGGACAACCAAGACAGAACCACCAGGAACTCCCAGGGTGAGGATCTGGGAAGGGAAAGAGGAGTGGTTTAAAAAAAGTTGGAAGACAGGCATGCATGTGTGGAGAGAACCAGGAGAGAGAAGCCCTACAGGAAGCAGACCTTCTGCTTAGGAAGAATTGTCAAATGCTGCAGAGAGATGGCTCAAATACTGACTGAGGGCCTGCCATGTGTGAGGCACTATTCTAAGTAGGTCCCAAGGAGACTGCAATCAGTGACATGGATGAAAATCCCTGCCCTCATGGAGCTTATGTTCTAGTGAGGAGAGGGAGAGTAAACAAAAAAATAAAACATAAGCAGCAATTGCTTCTTCAAGTCCTTTATTACATCAAACCACACTATAAAACACATCAGCTGCCTGAGTCCTCACTTGAGATTTATTGAGCAGCAAGAAAATGCTAGACTGGGGGATGGGAGCCTAGGGTCTCTGTCCACAGGACAGTGTTGGCAGAGACAGGGGATATGGAGAGAGGGCGTGGTTAATAAAAGGAGCTTGATGGCTCTACATGTAAAGGATGATTTCACCTGTTTTCAGCAGTGCATAAAAATAGAGCAGCTAGAAATACCATGTGACCCAGGAATTCCACTCCTAGGAATTTACCCTAAGAATGCAGGAGCCCAGTTTGAAAAAGACAGATGGACCCCTATGTTTATCACAGCACTATTTATAATAGCCAAGAAATGGAAGCAACCTAAGTGCCCATCAGTAGATGAATTGATAAAGAAGATGCGGCACATATACACAGTGGAATATTATTCAGCCATAAGAAGAAAACAAATCCTACCATTTGCAACAACATGGATGGAGATAGAGGGTATTATGCTCAGTGAAATAAGCCAGGAGGAGAAAGACAAGTATCAAATGATTTCACTCATCTGTGGAGTATAACAACAATGCAAAAACTGAAGGAACAAAACAGCGGCCAACTCACAGAACCCAAGAATGAACTAACAGTGGCCAAAGGGAAAGGGACTGGGGCGGGTGGGTGGGAAGAGAGGGAGAAGGGGAATAAGGGGCATTATGATTAGCTCACATAATGTAGAGGGGGGCACGGGGAAGGCAGTGTAGCACAGAGAAGATAAGTAGTTATTCTATAGCATCTTACTATGCTGATGGACAGGGACGGCAATGGGGTATGTGGTGGGGACTTGCTAATGGGAGGAATCTAGTAACTACAGTGTTCCTGTATTAATGATAACAAAATTAATAAAAAAAAGAAGACAGAAAAAAAACCATAGAGCAGCTCTAGTTGCCAGTCAGATGCTACCAGCTGCAGCACAGTATGTCATACTTGCAGCTCTGAGGAGGTGTGAGTGGCCCGTTCACACTGCGCTGCTCCACAGTGAGGCTCTGCACCCAGTCCCTGGAACATGCTGGGACCCTCTGATGGCTCAGCTGACAGAGGCCTCATAAATACCTGGGTCTTCTAGAGCTTTATGCAGTGTCTGGAGGGTTCCAAACCACTGATAGTTTAATTGGAGAGCTCAATGCATATGGAAGTACTATACACTTAATTTAGCTATTGGTTCATTTAAAGAAATAACTAATAACTGCAAATAAAAATTAAGTCAATGAAATTGTCTTAGCACAGCCAAATTCACTTATATTTGATACAGTGTCTTATATCTAATAGTAATAATAGCTATTATGTATTAAGTGCTTAACTTTGGTCTAGTTACCATGCTAAATGCTTTATATATATGTTTTCAATTAATCCTCATAGAAACCCTATGAGATTTGATATTGTCACCTCCGTTCCCATTTTAAGGATAAAATAACTGAAGTTGAACAGAGATGAAGTAATTTGTCTTAGGGCTGTGCTCAGCCTGAAGTTCCCTAACTGGACAGCACCCTGAGTTCTCTGGGGAAGAACAAGACTCATCTGCACAATGGAGGCTTATTTCAATTCTTTGATCACTCTACAACATTTTGGAGGAGGCTGTTTTAAAAACATTCTGGAAAACACTATGGAATCTTCTATTAGTTAGATGCAAGTTTGAAGTCCAAGTAAACAGCAACAACTTTGTTAGAACATACACAATTTAGCAACTCTCTATTTATAGAGTATTTTAAAATTACATTTGTACCACATGAGGACTCCCAGTTGTAATCCTGGCTATGTGACTTCCTGTGAGTCACTTTACCTCTCTGAGCCTCAATTTTGGAATCCATAAAACATGGTGGTTAAACTAGACCAGGGGATACCAATTTGTTTTTGACCCTAGAACTCTTTATTCAAACAAAATCTTACTTGGAATCCAACATATAAAACACAGTACAAGCTGAGTTTCTCAGAGCTTTTTTTAGGGGTGAGAGCTCCCCATAGGCTGGCTCCTCAGTAACCTCCTTGCCCGCTGGGGCACCCAGAGCCCTCTCCCAGAGCCTGGGCACAGAGCAAGGCAGTTCCAAAAGTACTGGCCTGAATCACCTCTAAAGATCCCACCTCCTCCCTACCCAGACTTGCCTGGTGCCTTTCACATAGTAGGCACTTAATAAATAGTTGAGAGGAAACACATGAAATATTATTCTGCCTGTTCGGAAATGCAGATATGTAGTTTTCATTTCCTTTGCTGATTGACCTGTGTAGTTAAAGTTGCTAAGGTGGATCCTGGGGGAAACCAAATGTTGCATTTATGGAAAAGCTGCTTTTAGACACTGAAGTGGCTTCTAAGTTCAGCATGGCCATAAGTTAAGGGTCTGTCAGCACTTCCATTATGAAAACCTCTTTGTGGTTTTATAACTTAGCCATAAAAGTTTGCTTCGGGCTATCCTTTGGCATACAAATTGAAAACCTCGTTTTAAGCCAAAATGTAGGAATTAGAAAACAAACAATTTATTGGTTTCAGACATAGTTTTGTTACCTGTCTTAGCCAAATAAGATTTATTATGTGGGCAATTAGAGGGGACTAAAGCCACTTGGTTGTTGAAAAACAAAAAAGGTGGGAAATAGCCAAACTATATTTCAAAAGGAGTCCCTGCGCATGATCAATCATTCTTTTTGGCTATATTTTTATCATGTACTTTGTCCCCCACACTGCTGAGACCTGGAGTATTTACATACTCTTTTCCATTTTCTCTTCTTTGTTTTTTTTTTTTTTTACATTTTCTGTTAATTATATCAGAATGTCAAAATTACCTTGTTTTACCAGAAAGCAAGCAATATAAATGAGAATAATGCCAAAGGAAGAGCTTAATGTTGCTTTTGGTAAATACTTAGAGAAAGGCAAGTGCTCCTCTTAATGAACAGCAAATAAAATATCATTCCTGACTAAAATAGCCATGGAGGGAAATGAGGCTTTATTATATATGATGTTAGACTTGGTTAGACCTGAGGAGCCACCTAGTCAAACCGCAGACTTCACAGTCCAGTCTGAACGAATGAACGCATCCTGCTGCCGGCTAGGAGGACTAGAACCAGGCAATCTACGTGCCAGCCTGGTGAGTGGCTTGTCACTGTTTCCTCCCATCAGATGGAGACATTCAAGTTTCTAGGATTCTACATTTTTCTAGCCCTCTGTAACTCTGGGGCAAAAATCCCGTGGCAAAAAACCTTTGAAACCGAAATCAGTCAAAGGGAGAAATAAAGTGGGAGAAACCTGTTTATTTCCTACAAGCAGTCGTTCACTTCTGCTCTCCCGTGTTTCTCGTCACCCGGCTGCAGGAGAGCTCCACCCAACCTCTCCAGTCCAGATAAGCCCTCGCTTGCCCCTGTAATTACCTATTGATATGGAGATGAACTAAGGCCAGGCAAGATATTCTGGAAATACTGCAATTTTACCCACACCTTCTAATGTCTAACACAAGACACAAACACCCCTGGTCACACAAGAATACACCCTCCTACACACAGTACACAAGGCACTTTGTGACTTTGGTCACCTAAATCACAGGCCACATGCTATCACCATTCTTGCTATAAACTTGTTTCATGTCCTCTTTGGGCCAAAAACAGTTCTGAGCACACAGGGATGGCGGGTTAGTTACTGGGTCACAGACTCTAATCTTACTAGGGGGAGACTAGGGTGTGGGTGAGTGAAATAGTTTAACAACCGGGTCAGTCCTCTAGCTCACAAATACAACCAAACAACTTAGGTTATGGTCATTGATTATCTGCTCATGACTGAAACTGATCATTCATTTATGAATATGGTTCAGTGCTTGACAAGACTTTGTTACAGTACTTGGGAATAGATGAATTTTGCTCAAGATTTAGTCTCTCCATCCGTCATATTAGTGAAGAACCCAGCAGCTCCCTCTTGCACTGTTGTAAATGTCTACCTACGTATCTGTCTCCCCTCTTAGATTGCATTTTGGGGCAGGAACCAACTCTCCTTCCTCTCCACGTCATTACTGTCTGGCACAGGAAAGGTACTCAACAGATGTCTGCTGAACAAATGAATGAATGAACAAAGGAACAATGCACATACTCACTGATAGGACCTATCTCTGAGGTGGGTTCCCCAGGTCTCTCCTTTGTGATCCCCTCTCCCCTGCACGATGCCCCTGCTCTCACAGAAACCAGCCAGACCCCTCAGCAGCACCACTTATCTTTGCTGAAATATTTTTGATAGAAAGAATGCAATTCTGGTAATAACAGTTCAGTAAAATGTTTTCTTAAGTTAAAGAGGAATTTGAGTCAGAAAAATAGGAAATTCCTAAATACCTGGGTAGAAGATCACAGCCCACTCCAATCTCTCTGGTTTCCACTTCAGTCTTCGGCTGGGTTTCTATTAAATAGTCCAGCCTGCTTTGTAGTTCGTTATTCTAGGGATGAGGAAAACAGTATTTTTACTAAAGCAAGTATGTTCCACAAGTACACGATACCATTTATATACATTATCCAATTTTCCCCAGTGACATGGACATCTATCTATCACCCTGTGTTTACTGAGCACCTCTTACACAGTAGAAATGGAAGAAGCATACTGATGGATCTTTACATGTAGCTTTCCAGTGCATGTACATACATATGTATCCAATTTTACATAAATGTGAACAAAATATTCTATTCTATATTATAATTAGCTTTTATTACCCAATGATTTGTTATGAATATCTTTCCCTGTTTGTTTTCTTTTTATGTCAACAAACTATTTCAATGGGTTTGTAGCATTCCATGGTACAGATGTTACATTATTTATTTAACTAGTCTCTTATTGATGACATTTAGTTATTTATCACTTTTTTTTGCTTTTATAAATGAGGTGCAGCTCATGTTTTAATACTCCCTCATTAAACTATAAAATGAGTAAGTCCATTAATTTAATTTAGTGGGAAATACCTCTATAACTTAATAATTAGTATTTCATAGGTGTGGAAAATTCAGAACCTCAAATATATAAAGTAGAATGAGCTCCTTGGGATTAAAATTAGCATTCTAAATAGTTGTTTTTTTTTTTTCCAGGCCAGAGTCAAACATTACATAAGTTGATGATTAGATGTTCAGGAATTAGAAATTTGCCCCATGGGGGAAATGAAAGACAAAGGAGCAAAAGAATTAAAGATACTAGAATGAAAATAGATGGAGTGATGGTGTGTTGGTGCCTAAAGCCAAAAGGCAAACACACACACATATTCAGAAAGAGATTAACAATGGTTATGGGATTGAGACTTTTAGATACTTTTCTTAAAAAAAATTCGATATATTTTTCTGTAATGCTAGACTAAATTTTCATGAGGCAATAACCATATCTATCTTCCTGGCTGTATGTATCCTCAGAACATACAAGTAGATAAGTATTTATTGAATAAACATATGTATAAATGCTTTCACAATGAGCATTTTATTTGCATAACTAGAAAAGAATTAAAGATTTGTCTTTTCTTCTTTCAGTTGGACTTGAAGCTAAGGCAGTGTTCTAAGACACAGGATGGTACATGAAAGCGGAAAAGTTCTTTGGAAACAGAAACTCATTTGTTTTGAAAGAAAGACTGTGGGTTACAGCTCAGTAGCTCCTGTTCTGTATGACTGATACCAAAGAGCTAAGCAGCAGCTCTGGTACAGACTCATGTTCTGCAGGATGTAAAGGCCTATGGATCCTTCTGATAAATGGAAAACAGTGTACAGGAAGAAAATACATTCCAGATTCCCTAGCAGCTGACATGACATGACAAATCTATGGGCTTTGAACCTATCACCTGATACTCAGTATGGGAGAATGGTGCTGGCTCACTGCCAGGGGTAAATCAACATGTACGTGCACACACACACACACACACACACACACACACACACACACACACACACACACACACCTTCCCTGGCAATATCTGGACTCTCCCATTAATAAGGAAAGAGCAAGGCTGAAGAGGCCTGCCCGTTAACAAGCTCCAACAGTCCCACTGCCTTATTCCTTCTCAGTGTTGAGTTTAGTTATCAGCATTTCACAGAATGCTGCGTCAGTACCTATAGTTGGGGGAATAAAAGACAAGTTCAGCAAATATGTCCCAATTGGGACACAGTAAAGAATGGACAAGCAGCCCCATATCTTTGTTCTACTTCAGAGAAACTCTTTGTGCACATCAGAAACCTCTGAAGTTTCTAAGATAAAAAACTTTTAAAAATTTAATACAATATGTAAAAAAAACTTGAGTAGATGGCATGCAAAATTAGGTGAGGGAAGGTGGTTAGTAGTGAAATAAATCAGGCATGATATGCAATCCTTGTGAAGCTCAGTTTTGTGGGTGTATAGACAACTAAGCAGAAAACAACAGAACAAAGTCATAAACTACCTCTAGTGGGACCCACAGGATATTAAGGGGGAATAGAGAGGTGATGCCTAACTCAAGACTGGGAGAAGGTCTGAATTGTCCATGACTATTTCCTGGAGCTAAGCAAGGGAAAGAGAACAGGAGAAACAAAAGGGATGAAATATTCCAGAATTGTGGAAACATACCAGGTTGAGAACAAGTACCTTACTGCAGTACATCCCTGGGCAGGAGTTAGTTATGAAGGGCTATGCACATCCTGACAAGGTCTTTACACCCAATCCTACAAGACCAAAGTCAACACTAGTTTTATTTCAATCACTTGGGCTCCCAAGTGAAAATTGTATTGTAAGGAAATAAAACTACCGACAAGACGATCAGTCAAGGAAACCACTACAATTTTCCAGTTAAAACAGCAAGAGATGCACTTCCAGTATAGAGGAACACACTGGACAAAGACAAAAAATGATAACTGAGGTCTCTGGAGCTTGACTGAGGACAGGCAAGTTTTAGAGGGGAAGCAAAACTCGGAGCAACTGACAAGCATGGAACGGGTTCTCTGTGATTCACTTGCTTGTTCTGTTGGCAGCTCTGCCCAAGAACAGCACAGTCATGGTGGGAGAGCAGAGACACCGTAAAAATTCAACGGAAAGGTCATTTTTCTGGTATGAAAATAAACAGTAGAAGGAGTCCAGGATAACCAGGGCTAGCAAGAGTAAGGGGGAAGCCAAAAAAGAGACAGAGAAGGCAGAAACTCTTAAATTCTGTGTCTGGACTCGGCTCAAGTCTCCGGCAGACCCTGCACATGCGTGGACAAACCAAAAGCACTCTGCGGCTTAAAGAGCCGCACTGAGGTCTGAGCCATGGCCCGCTACCACACATCAGGGTACAGAAGGGTGTAACCAAACTCGGCACCCCTGAAAACAAAAGCCTCAGTGTTGTTCAGAACAGTAACACAGAATCCAAAGCCTCCACAACAAAACATTTACAGTGTCCAGATTATAATCCAAAATTACTCAACACATGAAGAATCAGGAAAATGTGACCCATTCCCAAGGGAAAAGAGAGTCAGCAGACGCCAATCCTGAGATGACTTAGATGCTGGAACTTTCAGACAAGGACTTTAAAACAGCTATTGTAACAATGCTCGATGAGTTAAAGCAAAATATACTTGTAATTGATGAAGTAGAAAAAAGTCCAACAGAAATAGAAAATTTAAAAAAAGCAAACTGAAATTTTAGAACAGAAAAATACAATGACTCAGATTTTTTAAAAAATCAGTACATTGGCTTAAGAATAGAGATGACAAGGAAGGAGTCAGTAAACTTGAAGACACTAACAGAAATCACTCAGTCAAAACAAGACAAAGAAAGAAAAGACTAAAAATAATAAATGGAGCTTCATGTAACTGTGCAACAATTTCTAATGCTTACCAAGGAGATACTGGAATTACAGGAGTGGAGAGAGAAACTAGAACAGAAAAAATATTCAAAGAAATAATGGCTAAAAGCTTCCCAAATTTGGTGAATGACATAAATCTACAAATTCAAGAAGCTCAGCAAACCCCAAGCAGAATAAATTCAAAGAGGAACACTACTTGGGCACATCATAGTCAAACTACTGAAAGCTACAAGGAAAGAAAAATCTTGAAAGCAATCCTGTTATACATAGGGGAGCAATAATTTTAATTACTACAGATTTCTCATCAAAAACTATGGAAGCCAGAAGACAGAGAGCACTAAGAGAAATAAACTCAACCTAGAACTCTGTATGTATAAAGACCTTACTTTCAGATAGGCAAAGCTAAGTGAATTTGTCCCCAACTGGCCTGTACTACACACAATGCTAAATCAAAGTTCTTTAAGCTCAAGAGAGATGCTCTCAGATTTTCAGGAATGAATGAAGAGCCTCAGAAATAGATATTGTGTGAGTAAATATGAAACAGTCTATTTTATATTAGTGTCTTTAAAAGGCCTAAGACTATTAAAGCAGAAATTCTAACAATGTTTATAATATATGCATTTACAATACATATAAAAACAATAACATGGCAGGAGGAGGGGTAAATGGACATATAGCATTGCAAGATTTCTACATTTTACGTCAAGTGGTACCATATTATCAACAGACTGAACTGTTAATCATGTATAATAGCTACAGCAATCATCAATATATTAGAGAAAAGAGACATAGCCAAATGCCAGCAAATAAATTAAAATGGACATCTAAAGAAATACTGAAATAATCCAAAACGAGGCAAGGGGAACAAAATCAATAAACAAACAAAACAGAGAGAATAGAAAACAAAAAATAAAACGTAGCCCTAAATCCAATCATATCAGTAATATAATTAAATGTCAATGGACTATACACTCTAATAAAAGATAGAGACTGTCAGCATATATAACAAAGACTATACATATTATGTGCAAGAGATGCAATTTAAACATAGACACAGTTCAGTTGAAAACAGTGGATGGAAAAAGATATACCATGCAAACAGTAAACATCAGAGGGCAGGAATGGCTACACTAACAGCAGATAAAACAGACTTCAAGACAAAGAGTATGAACAAAGTTAGTGACCAACATTTCCTAACAGTGAAAAGGTCAGTTCATCACCAAGACATAGCAATAAAAAATGTGTATATACCAAATCACAGAAGTCTAAAATATATGAGGTAAAAAAAAATAACGAAATTGAAGCAACAGTCTAAAACCATAGCAAAGAATTTTAACCCCACACCCCTCTCTCAGAAATTGATAGAATGATTATACTAAAACCAGAAAAAACATAAGCTAAACAATATTTTCAATCACCTAAATCTAATTGATATATATATACAACACACAGAAAAACAGCAGAATATATATTTTAACATGAACCAAGAGAAACCATATGCTGAACCACAGAACAAGTCTCAATAAATTTAAAAGTATTAAAACCATACAAAGTATGTTCTCAGGCCATAACAATTAAATCAGAAATCAAAAACAGCAAGATATCTAAGAAAACCTCAAATATTTTGAAGTCAAACTACACACTTCTAAATAATC